TCAATACAGTCACTTCTGACTGTTTGTTGTTTGCTGATGACTTCAAAATCTTCAGAGGGGTTTCTTCGAAGGCATATTGTCTAGTTCCCCAAAACGATTTATCCAATGTAAGTGCCTCTGGTTTGCTGGCATCAAAATGTTTTTGAATGTCAGTAAATACTTCTGTATGACGTACACAAGGCGTCGTCAATATCTACAATATAGCTATAATTTGGATACAAAAATGCTAACAAGGCATTCAGGGCCTTGGGCTTCATCACTAGAAATACCAAACATTTTCATAGTTAATACCTTGCTAAAGCTCTATAATGCCTTTGCCAGGCCCCACTTGGAGTATGCATGTATTATCTGGTCACCTACAGCTGACTGCAATAGAGACTTGATTTAAAGAGTACAAAAAAATTTTTGGTGATATATATATTTGTATTTCAAACGATATCATGTATATCCTATATAAAAGTAAACGAGAATGATAAAGACTGCAAAGGACCTCGCACGCATGTTTATCAGTCAAAATATTGACAGGTTCACATATTTCACGTCACTAATGCTAGTTTTACACTGACAATTTAAATTGATCAATTTGTTTGTCAATTTATTTGCCAATTTATGTTGGCTCAACAATGGCTCAACTTTGCTATACACCGGATCAGCTTGTTGACAACACAAACGATAATAAACAATTCTACCAACTTGACCAGAATTTCAAGATTATGTATTTTTATTTATGGCTCACTCAGAAATATATTTGAAGATATTTATTAATAAAACTAAAAGAAACTGAAGGTAGAAGAAAAAACTGAACATCAACAAGTAAATGATAAATAAAAATAAATATCCTCACCTAGCTTTTATATTTTTAGGGAGTCATTTCTAGGTTGAAATCCTGAATAGACCTATCTATTTTTACCTGGTATGCGTGCGCAACACGAGGCAATGTCTTTTTATTGGCCAGGTGTGAGGTGATCGTTTTGCACGCTGGGCATCTCTTTATCCTTGTTCATTGCACCTAGTCTGACAAGAATAAATCTAAAGTTGATATTCAACTTGACAAGTGTCATTCAAAAGTTGTTTGACATTTTCATTGACAAATACGTTGCACAACACGCAGTTTTTCTCCTTTCCTTTTTATCCTGTGCAAATAAGAAGGACGGATTGCTATACGTAAGTCTAACATAATTTGGTACGTTTTGCCTCGTCTTGCGCAATGAGCGTTCTGTGTCTTTTTTTATTTAATGAAGTTTTCGTATTATTACCTCTTTGTCTGGTAAAATAGATAGGTCTATTGACACAAAAATTGATGGAAAAATAGAACATGCGCTAATCCGTCAATAAATTGAGCAAGAACTTGGACAAGTTAAATTGCCGCCAATTTGGCGTTTTACATTATCAATATTTCTTGACAAGCGACTTGATCAATAAATTGTCAGTGTAAAACCGTCTTAACAAATTAATGTCAACATAGGCTAAGACCGGGACCACACTGGGACCAATGTTGACGCCAGTGCGTTCCCGGCCTTAGCCGATGTTGACATTTGTTAGTGACGTGAAATATGTGAACCTGCCAATATTTTGACTCATAAGCACCAGTATTTCGTATACTCTCCACACAAAAAGTCGCAAAATTTTTATCTTTCAACGCTCATATCTCAGAGACTGTAATACCTACAAGGTTTCGTCCCATTTAAAGGTTGCTAAGAATTAAATCCTCTACAACATATCAAAATTTGAAAAAAATCGACCGATCGCTGAAATCCCATGTAAGGTGTGCGAGGTCCTTTGTTCTCTCGACGAGAATCGGGCCCCAGAAGAGGAATCTTCCAGGGATACTCATTGAGTCCACTATGGCTCCGCTTGGCCATGAATTCTCTCTCTAATATGCTAAATATTACATATAAATGCTTCAAGATCAACACTAATAAAAATAGCTCACACGACATCACACATCTCCCATGTGGATGATATCAAACTCTATGCAGGAAACAAAGAACATCTCGACCATTTGATAAATCTAACACATACATTCTGCAAGGACATTCATATGAACTTTGGAATGTAAAACCTTAAACTTCAGGAAGGAAAAAGTGGTGGAAGACGATGTAGTACTATCAAATGATAAGATCGTCCGCGCTATGGAAGAGGAGGAGACCTATAAATATCTTGGGTTCCAACAAGCAAGATTGCTGGACGATAAGCAGGGCAAAACGAAAATTCAAGAACAATATTTTCAGGGACTTGAACTCTTTTGAAATCAGAACTTCATGCAGGCAATCTAGTGACCGCAATTAACACCTATGCTGGGTCTATATTAACCTATTCGTTTGTTATTTCGAACTGGAAAGCTTAGAACTTACAACCCGTACTATGTCGACTAAAATATAAAGCCCACCAACCGAAGGTATTCAGGTTACAAACAACGCTTCCCAGAAATGGAGGAGGAAGAGGAATAACGGATATAACCAATCTGCATGCCAATTGTCAATCAATTGACTAAGCTAGGGGAGTTCTTTTTCCATAAAGCCAGGTGATCAAAATGGCTGACAAAAATCACTTGCCATTAAATCTTACCACTATTGCTCTATCTGAAACGGTAAGAGTTACAAGGTCCGTACAAAAAAATGTTGCCTTTTTTGATGCCCATTTAAGACTCGTTTACACTGTTACCAAATTCCTAAGAAACTTCTAACAATATTTCATCAATTATTTCGGAAACTATTGATTTTTAGAGAAACAATTTAAATTTGAAAGTTTTATAATTTTTTTCTTTCTACAACATGGCATCTACAAATTTTAAATCCGACGTTTTGTGATCAAGCTACCTTCATCAACTTCATTTTTTTAAATACGGACCTGCATTTTTATCTCATTCTTAGAAAGCACCCTTTAGTCCCTTTTTATGGTTACCTCTTAAGTATGATTGGCCGACGTTTCTGTTTTAAAAAGTAATCATCAGTGATTTTTACCAATATTTTACTTTAATTCGGCCCTGATAATCACGTTTTAGAGTAGAAACGTCGGCCAACCATACCTTATGAGGTAGGTACAGTCGTGAGCATAAAAAGTGTGACACCCGTTTTTTCCTATTGTAAAACGAGCTTATCAGCTATACCTACGGCAATGACAGGAATTGTCATATTTGATAAAAAAAATCCATTGTAGAGAAAAGACTGATTTACCCAAAATAGCGAAAAATGACAAGACCTGTCAGTCGGGTATCTCACTTTTTAGGCTCACGACTATATATCGTTGAAAAGGGCATAAAGGGCGCTTTCTAAAATTGACATAAAAAATCCAGGTCTGTATTTAAAAAAATTTAGTTGATGATGGTAGCTCGATCACGAAACGTCGGATTTAAAATTTGAAGATGCCATGTTGTAGTGCGAAAAAAATAATAGATTTTCAAATTTAAATTGTGTCTCGAAAATCAATAGTTTTTGAAATAATTGATGAAATATTTTTAGGCGTTTCTTAGAAATCACCAATCACCCTGTATTTCATAAACTAAAAGGAATTTGGCAACCCTGTAAACGAGTCTTAAATGGGCGTAAAAAAGGCAACTTTTTTCTAATTCAACCGACCTTGTAGCTCTTACCGTTTCGACTATAGCAATATCAAACCATGAAAAGAAAGAACAATGTGCGCAAAAAGCTTTACATGGCCGACAATACGAGGATCTGAATCAAACCGACATCAACACTGGAGCGTCAAATAAATGGATAAAGGAAGGGCTGTGGTTTCCAAAGACAGAAGACAAAAGTCCGAAACCATCCAGCACATAATGACAACAAATGACTTTTAAGCCCACTTTCACCATTGGTGGTAACCTGCACTGGTTATCAATTTAATGCTTGCGGGCTCACCACAAAATGGCAAAATAAGGCTTGAGTTCTCATCTGATCTGAAGCTGGACCAATTATTTCGACTAAACTACACATTATGAAAGAGATATATTATGAGTAACCGGTGTCTTCTGGTTACCATTTGGTTACCGCTGCTACTGAAACTGGCCCTTACCAGTGGCAGTAACCCACAATATGTCTGTTCTATAATGTGTGATTGAGCCAAAAACTTTAGTCGGTCTGATATTGTATTGTTTATTGAGTGACTCGATTCTATTTACCTGATAGACGTCGGTGTGCCCAAGAATCACAACATGTTGGAAACATATCAGGAAAAGAAAGCTATGTATGCTGAATTGGCCATAGAAATTCAACAAATGTGGCAAGCTGACCATGTGCATGTCATATCATTCATCGTATCTTCTACAGGTTTAATACGGACTAGCCTGGAGGAAAGCCTTATTAACCTTGACTTGCATAAAAATACCTGCATTTTGACATACAGAAGGCAGTCATTCTAAGTACTTGCCATTTGGTCAAAAAGTTTCTACATCAGACGCTCTTATTTTTCTCCAATAATTATCTCAACCACTTAGAACATCACCTATTCTTTTTGATAGTATTTATCCGGGAATGGGAAAGGTGTGAATTTCCAACATCGGTTGAGCTAGGTGAAAGCACCGTGCAATAATAATAATAATTTATTTAGCCTAAAATGCTACAAAAAATAAACCAAGCCAAAATTTTTTCATGTTTTAATTTTTCTGTATTCCAGTATTTTGTAGCTTCTCTCTTTCTTTTGAAAATTTGTCTTTCACTTAGTTTGGTAATTCTCCATTATTTTTTAAATTTTTTGTGTGATATTTTGAATTCAGTTTTTTTTTTCCTTGTTCCTTTCTCAAGATTTTTGTCGTTGCTTTTTCCAGATTTTCTCAAAGATACACATACTCTTTTCCGCAGTTTCTGCATCTTTAAACAAAATATAATTAGAAAAGTTTGTCTCAATTTTTTTCTAAATTTCTCTTACTTTTTTGGTCCTTTTTTCTCGCTTTTTTACTTATTTTGAATAATAATATTTGAGACATCACTTTTTTTTCTCAATCTTTGTCTATTTTTATTTGAAAAAAATTTAGATAATTTTATGTTAATTTTTTTTTTCAGCTTCAGTTGCTGCCTTAGTAGTACCTGAAATGTCGTATTCAAGTTCGGAAGGAGAAGATGACTTTTTTGACGCAAACGATGTTCCATTTGTTGGTGGAAGCCAATTACCTTCGCCTAAGTAAGTGATTATATTTTTATTTACAACCACATACGTAATGTTGACATTTGTGACTTTTCAAAAGTTTGAAAGTGACACTTTTTTGAATTTTACTTTCCTCCCGGGTGGAAAGTGGTCCCAGGTGGAGAGTGCTCACTTTCCACCCGGGTGGAAAGTAGATTCTCATTTCCTTAAATATTAAAGACAAGTCCTACATGTCAAACGTTTTTTTAGATAAGTCAGAACTTGTCAACAAAATTATTCAATATTTATTTAGTATTTAGTCAAAATTGCTGTAATTGTTGTAAATAAAATAGTATACAAACCTCGGAAGGAAATTTCATTCCTGTCTCGAGATTATAGTTAACTTCGACGCTTCCCGTCTCAGTTAACTAACTAATCTCTCGGCAGTAATGAAACATTTTCCACCTTGGTATGTAATATACTATCATTTACAACCACATACGTAATGTTGACATTTATGACCTTTCAAATGTTTGATAGTGACACTTTTTTTGAATTTTACTTTCCTCCCGGATGGAAAGTAAGCCCTCATTTCCTTGAATTTTATAGACAAGTCCTGCATGTCAAACGTTTTTTTTTTAGACAAGTCAGACCTTGTCAACAAAATTTTTTCATTTTTATTTAGTATTTAGTCAAAACAGTAAATGAAACACTTCCCAGGCCACCTCGGTATGTAATATACTATTATTCCATAAATAAGTCGGTGATTTCATCGATATTAATGGGTTTAAAATGAATCTCAACTTATTCCGTTGTTTATTTATAAAGTTATTTTTCTATTTTTGAGGATATTGATTTTGAAGCAAAATCACTTATAGTCTAAGAGCCAGGGCCGAAAAAATTCTCTGAATTTACTAAAGCTAGTTTTTGGACAGTATTTACGTACATACATAAACATACCGCGGTCAGTCAAGCGAAACTTGGGACAAGGACCCAGGGTGTCTTGTTAAAGGTGTCGAGATAACTTGGGTAATGCAACGAATTTACTAAAGCTGAAAATCGTTATACATGTTATATATAACATATAAATAACAGTAGTGTTTAGTCAGTCAGTTGAATAGCGGGACCGTGTTGGTCAGTCAGCCCCAATAAATGTAAAAATCTGCAAAAAATATTAATATTACTGAACAAACCTATTAATTTAAACTTCAACCTACAATTTTAAATTGTCACTGTCACGGTGTCACTCTAAAAAAAATAGACCTCACAGAATACATATCCTCACGGATAGAAGGCAAACTGCCTAATAAAATTTTGGGGAACAATGCGCCGTCACGGCGCGGTGGATGCGATCCGAACTATTTATAATAAAGGTTTCTGTAATCAAATCAGCTTTCAAAATAGTTCTTCCAATGTCAATATTTTCAATATAGATTTGTTCGGACTTCAGTTCAGAATTGGACTACGCTTTCGCATTTCTTTATATAGGTTTGATATGAACAAATGCGCAAGCGCTGTCCAATTTAGAACTGATTTTGAATTGAAGTCCAAACAAACCTTTTTCCTCATTATTGAATATTGCGGATTTTTCTTCCGAGTAGAGCAAAAACGGCCAAACTTCTTGTCTTTTGTGTAAAATCTGATTTTGGTGGTAAAACGCTTTAGTGCAACACGTAGTTTCTTATAAGATGCATCCCTAATGTTGTAGTTAGTCTTTTTGGACCGATTTCAATATAAAAATATGCGGATTATATTAGTTTTCAAGAAAAATCTATAAATTAAAGTGATTCAATTTAAAGGTGTGTTAGTTTGGGTTAGTTTGCATAGGACTAGTACGCATTACGTGGACGGGTTAGCTTGGGTTAGTTTGCATATTTCTGGTTAGTTTTGGTTACAGTTCGTATCTACTGGTTATAAGTGTACTGATTCTTTATTTTTTAAATTGGTATGATTAGGGCTCTCGGGAACAGGGTAGAACGCATACTCCGATTGAGTTCATTTTTGGTATACATATAAAGGCCGCTGAAAGAAATTTTTCCAAGAAAAAATTGACCTTAGCCGCGACCTTGACCGTGACCTTGACCAGTGAAATTCACATAAATATCAATTTATCGTGGTGAAATTATGTATAGCGCCGAAGAGCATCATAAATAACCCACACACTGAGTTTTAGCCTTCAAGGTCATACATATTCAGAGATACGGCAACCCCGCATTCTCAGTTTGGGCTCTCGAGAATTGGGCTAGAAGGCGAAGTCCAATCGAGTTCATTTTTGGTATACATATAAAGGCCGCTGAAAGAAATTTCCCCAAAAAAAAATTGACCTTGGCCGTTGGCCGTGAACTTGACCAGTGAAATTCACGTAAATATCTATTTATCGGGCTGAAATTATGTACAGGGTGGGCCAATTTGGACACTTTTAATAGGAAACATCATGATATTGAATATTAATTACTTATCTAAAACTGGATACAGTGTACTGATTAACAACGACAACCAAGCGCGACAAGCTAGATAAAATAAAAATGTTCAAGGATACTAGCATGCATTTCAAGAATGGGTTAATTTGGGTTGTTTTGCATTATTTTGTAATTCTCGATTAGATAGGTTTACGGGGACTAGTACGCAGTACAAAGACGGGTAAGTTCGGGTTAGTTTGCATATTTTTGATCAGTTTCGATATAGCACAGTTATTGTCGGTTAAAGTGTACCAATTTCAAAAGTTCAGTAGATATTATACGCTTTATCATTACTCAATAATGTTTTTTTCAAAAAATGGTTTGAACACTTAGCTCTTTTCTTCATTCGAATATTTACCACATGATGCTTTTTACGTTTATTGAATTTTTATCTGCTAAACAGAGCGATTGTGATATTAAGCTGATAAGAATAGATATTATATATTGATCTGTGTCAAAGGTCGAGGAGAGGATTCATTCAATATTTATAAAATCCAATTTATAGTTATTTGCGCCAACATTTTCGATCATAAAACAATATTTTGGGATCAAACTAAACTATCTATAATGAAGAAGCATGATATTTTTTTTGAAGGACCTTTACTGAACTGTTACCTTTTACGGCCTAAATATGTATACCAAAAATAAACTCAATCGGACTACGCCTTCTTCCCTGTTCCCGAGAGCCCAAACTGAGAATGCGGAGTTGCCGTATCTCTGAATGTGTATGACCTTGAATGCTAAAACTCGGTATATAGGTTACTTGAGATGCCTTTCAACACTATACAAGTATTCAGCAGGTTAAACTGCCATTTACGTGAATTTGATGGTCAAGGTCAGAATCAAGGTTACAGTCGAGATCAAATTTTTTTTGGAAAAATTTCTTCTGACGTCCTATATATGTGTACCAAAAATGAACTTGATCAGAAAACGCCCTATAGCCCCTTCCCGAGAGCCCAAGAATTACCTTTAAATTCAATATCAACATACAAGGACTCGCACGCATTACGTGGACGGACGAATTCTAATTCAGAACTATTTTGACATATTTTTTTTAAACATAGGTAACAGGTAAACTGCCAAAGTAAACTGTGACATATTTTCTGGTGGCGTTCATTCCGCACCTGTAGTTCTGTTTCACTCCAGCGTCCCCAAGCGGATGCGATCCGAAGCTTTTTTTTAGGCCCCGCCCTCCATTAAGCTTTTTTTTCTCTCCGTGAGGATATGTGTTCTGTGATAGACCTATTATTTTTTTTACATAAATTGGGGCTGAACTACCTCAATGGGGCTGAATGGCCGGTCCAGTTCCGCTATTCAACTGACTGACAAACATCACTGTTATTTATGTGTTATCGTTGATTGAAGAAGGTATAGAGTAAGATACGCAAAGCCTATGCATTTATCTGTGGCCACTAGAAAATTTCATTCCCCTTACGTCGCTTGCCTCGCGCCCAAGGTAAGAACGACTGTGAGGTGGTGCCTCTAGTGGCCTAACAGGGGAACGCTCATTTTATTTTATCACTCGAACGAGTAATATCAGAATCTCGTTGCGCCGTCGGTCGCGTCGAACGAACGATTGAGCGAACGTAGCTGCTTGCTTAGAAAAGAATTTAGACTTGGTCGAGGGGGTACTTTGATGTAGGTACTATTTTGCCGTTGATTTTATGAATGAGGGAAAACAGTGTACTAAAATTATTTTACAGAAAGATTAAAATATTAATTTAGTGAATGAATATTGAAATATTTCCTATTATTTTATATGTTTCCTGAAATGTCTTTGGATAGGACCTTCTGCTATTTGATCAAAAAAAAAAAAAATGTTATACACATACTCAAAATATGATTTTAATTATTGAAAAAAAAATTAGATGCTAAAAAGGCAAATGAAACAATAGTCTCTGTTTTTATTATTTATTTATTTTACTTAATTAGGTATGAATAACGTAAACATAATTACATATAAAGGGTGAGTTACTAAGCGCGCGGTGGTCCATATCTCCTATACTAACGGAGATCGAAGAAAAAACTAAATACAAAACTTGTAGATAAACATGAGTACTACATTCCTAAATTATTTTCCAGTATACAGGGTGGCCCAATAAGTAGTGGTGACACAAAGTTATGTTTTTTTGAATGACTCCCCCTGTATATTATGACATTTCTGGATTCTGCGGCAAGTTATAGACATATTTTATGTTTATGTACAATGGTAAAAATATACCTATTTTCAACTGTTTCGGAAATATTGACAGTTGAATGGATCAACCTGTATATTATGACATTTATGGATTCTGCGAGAAATTTTTGACATATTTCATGTACAATGTCATATACCTATCTTCAACTGTTTCGGAAATATTGACAGTTGAAAATTGATTTTTTTGCAACTTTGACAGGCTGTAAAACCTGAACGGTTAATTTTAGAGAAAAACCGATTTTACATTCCTATATTAGATTTTACTAAACATCATTTAACACCAACTTTGAAGTTAATCCGTGATTAAAAATTCTGGTTAAATTTAATCTCCGGGTAAATTCAAAGTTGATGTCAAATGATAGTTAATGAAAATCTAAAATAGGAATGTAAAATCGGTTTTC